AAAAAAAAAAAAAAAAAAAAAAAAAAAAAAAAAAAAAAAAAAGAAAAGAAAAAAAAAATACATATATTAGCATGACTCATGAGTCATTTCCATTCCTCTTTTCCTGTTAATGTTCACATTCAATTGTATGTGTGTTGTTTCCACTGCAAACAGAAGAGCACCTTCGGTAAGCTCAGTGGTAGGTTGGATGCCCCCAAGATGTCTGTGCTCTCATACCCGGAACTTGTAAATATGTTATCCTACATGAGTAAGGAACTTTGCAGATGTAATCAAATTAAGGATCTTGAGATAGACTGTTCTGGGTTATCCTAGTGGGCCCAATGATAACTGGAAAGATCCTCGTCCAAGGAAGGCAGGAACATCAAAATCAGTAGTAGAAAGAGTAATAGTGGTGGTGGTAGTACAATAGAAGAAAGAACTTGTAGTGATTTGAGGAAGGGGCCAGAGACAAAGGAACACAGGTAGCTTCTAGAAGATTAATAAACAAATTCTTCCTGGAAGCATCCAGATGGAATATATGTTAGAAATATTGAGAGGGCGGGGGTTGGGAATCAGACATGTGCTTGAAGCTGGGTGAACAAATCAAACTTTTACTCCTGTCAGAAAGGCATGCTACAGGAACCTGGCTAGCAAACTCCCCTGGGCAGGCAGTCCACCTGCTTATATCCCTAACATAATACAGCACTGTCCTGTGCTCTGATAAAAGGAGTTTTGGGTTACATCTATGGGATTGGGGCAGACAAAGGAAAGGAGTGTAATTAAAATGGTTACAATTGGACCAATTAAAGCTATATTCTAAAATGTACCACTAGATTTTCTATTTCTCACATGTAGGCCTACAGAAACACTGATTTTAGACTTCTGACCTCCAGACATATCAAAGAATAAATCCATACTGCCTTTAAGCCACTAAATTTGTGGTGGTTTGTTATAGCAGTAATGGGAAGGTAATACAATTACCTAACTGGGCTCCTTATTTCCTGCCTTCTCTCTTTTCAGTGCATTCTCCACACCACAGAGGGATCTTTTAAAAATAGAAAAGAGATTGTCACTTTCCTGTTTAAAAAGTTTCTTAGCAAGAATCTTTATACCTGGAACAAAATCCAAATGATGGCCATAGGCCCTACATGACCTGGTCACTAGCTATACCTCTCCATACTCCTTTAATTTTCTTTCTACAGGTGCTCTCCCACCTCCCACCCCCACCTCCCAGCCTTGGTGACTCAGGGCAACTGGTTTTCTCTTTGGGGTCTTGGCTCTAGCCATTCCATTTGTCTGAAACACTGTGTCCTCAAACCTTTGGATGACTGGTCCTTTTACCTTTCAGCTTAAAATTCTCTTCATGAAAAACTCCCCTTGCCCCAACCTAAGGTAGCCACTTGACACTACAGCCCTTGTTTAGTTGTCTTCACAGCACCTATTATCTTAAGCTATACTACTCACTTGTTTTGTTTGTTGATTACTTCCTCTCTACCCCTTTGACCCAAGTTCCAGGAAACCAGGAACTTAGCTTGTCTTTGTCCTGCTGTTATGTCCAACCCCTAAAATAATGCCTGGCACAAGCTAGGCAGCTTTCAGCAAAAACCTGTTGCAGGATGGAATGTTTGGCTTTACAGAGAGCTCAGGGTTCAAGTTGGCTACTAGCCCAGCAGGGCCTAGAACCCAGATCTCTACCCAGAAGTTGAACTAAGACTGGACGCTAGTCCCTCTTTCTAGGGCTCCTGAAGAACCACCCAATCTCATGAGGAGTTCAAAGGACCTCCATGGAAAATGATAATAATGAAAACAACAATGGTTAATGATTATTGAGCACTTTCTAAGTACCACAATTAACACTTAATTTTATGTGTTAAGACAACTGCATTTACTCTTCACAATCAATCCTCACATTAAGGACGGGGAAACTGGGCTGGGATGTAGCTCAGTGGCAAAGCGTCTGCCTTGCATTCGTAAAACCCTGGGTTCAACCCCCAGTCCCCCCAAAAAAAACAAAAAACAAGGAAACTGAGGCAATGAACTGTTTCGTAACTTTCCCAACATACAGCTAAATATACACAATTACACGTTTCTATTAATCTTTCTGTGGTCCACTTCCTCACACTAACAAGGTGGGAAGATTTCTGACCTGAAATGCCCGGTTACCCGGGTCCATAGTCTCCGGGAACAGTGGGGTACATCCTCCTACTCAGGCGAGAGGAGGGCTGGGCACCGGCAGGGATTGGTGGGAGAAACTCGAGGCCATACAGCGGAAGTCCCGCCCTGCGTAGGAAAACTTCCGGTTCCAACTGCTCAGTGCTTATGTTGACCGGAAGCTTCCGGTAGCGCTGCGATGGTGCTCCTGGAGAGCGAGCAGGTATAGCCAGGCCTGGCCGGCCCTGGGACTGATGAAGGTTCGGGTTTTAGCTCCAGACCTCTGTGTCGCCTTGAGGGAGGGACAGGGACTTAGTTGACGCGGCGGTACGAGGATTTGAGGCTGCCTAATGGGGCCGGGCTTCTTATGTTCCAGTTCCTGACGGAGCTCACCAGGCTCTTCCAGAAGTGTCGGTTGTCGGGCAGCGTGTACATCACCTTGAAGAAGTGTAAGCAGCCACCTCGGCGGGGACGAAGGAAGCTGGGAGAGGAAACTCTGGAAGCCGAGCTATGCCCGGTCTGGGTCCTAGTGTCTGGGAGGCACCAGAGTCCCCTGCCTTCCTCCACCCTGCACTGGGCACATTCAGGGACTTAGGCCCCGGAATATTGGGAATTGCGGTTGGTGCCCCCTCTTCCACTCAGTTTGTGACCAAGGTCCGTCCTGGCTACAGTGGGCCCCAAGTATGTCAGAGGTCATCGTTTTGTCAGGGATACCAAACCCAACGCGACTAGTGAGGTTTAATATTCCTATGTAACAGCGTTTCTGTTGTGGAAGTTGTAGTTGTCTCCAAGATTTGGCCAAACCCTTGATAGCATAAACAGAACTGGAGCGGTGACAGTGGATTAAGTCACCTATTTAGATCCCATTTCCTATTTTAACCTTTGTCTACCTATCAGCAACGTATATGGCTGTGTTCACTAGGATGTATTTTTTGTGCAGATGATGGTCGAACTAAACCCACACCGAGGAAGGGTTCTGTGGAGGGCGTTGAGCCCTCAGACAACAAGTGTCTGTTGAGAGCAACGGATGGGAAAAAGAAGATCAGCACAGTGGTGAGCTGGATTCTTAACGCTAAATTTTGGAGTTTAGAACGGAGGATGGATCATATCTGAACCAGGCTTTTATTTTTTTTTCTTTTTTAGGTAAAAGGTAGCAAATGTGTAGCTCCCAGAATATTTTGGGATGCGGACTTTCCTTTACCACATTAATAGTAGAAATCTCAGTAAAATTAAAATGGAGGTAGAGGTCAAACACTTGTTATACTAAACTTTTTGTGGAAAAAACATTGGTAATGCTGGAAGGAGTGCTTGGCATACTTATTTCCTTATCTCCTTACTGTGTTGGGCCTTCAATAATTTCTTGGTATCATGATTGTTTTACTTTTGAAAAGTATTTTTAGTTGTAGATGGACACAGTAACTTTATTTATTGTGGTGTTGAGGATTGAACCTAATGCCTCTGTGTGACAGACAAGCACTCCACCACTGAGCTACAACTTTTTTAGCTGATTATTCCTTTGTCTTTGTGGTTAATGTAACATAGTTATATGTTAGGCTTGGTACATGAGAGAGTATACATTTAGTTAAGAGCTCTATTTAGCCCTATTTTCTAGATTGTTCTAGTCTTTCTTTTCCTGGTAGAGGTTAAGTATAGCAAAGCAAAAGACTCTGGATTCTTGAGTGAAAACTGTATTCTGCTGGAGCAGATCCAGACTCTCCTCTAATCACAGTAAAATAGGTTATTCATGAGAACATAGAAATAATTAGTTCATAATTCTCCCTTTATAAGTTATCTTGAGTAGACCTTTGTAGTAAAGCCAGCTTATGTGGTCTTTAAAAATAAAGTGGAATATCAAAAAATAGGAAAACCTGAGAATCTTTAAAGGTAATATTTCTCTTGCAGTAGCTTGCATTGTGCTTAAATTGGTCTGAATAAATGGAAAGCAGAAGATGAGGAGGGAGTAGTTTTTGTGTATGTTACACAAAACATTAATACTGAGAAGTCACTTGACATCTCTCAGAACCCAGGGAGAAAACTTAGGGTCATCTCTGTAAGGGATTTCAAGAGAGATAAGAAATAGAACTTCTGTAGAAGATCACTTCTGCCTATCCCTTCTGGTGCAGTTCTCATGTATAAAAAAGGCAGAGCTACTTTGCTTGTTCCTGAGGCAGAGGGAAGTCAGGTAGAAAAATAGCCTTTAGTGCAACATCAGAAGTTGGGAAGAACTTAGAATGTCATCTTCATGAATATTTTGAGATATTATCTGTGGTGGATCAGAGGATACTGAATGGATAAATAGGGGGTGACATCTTTTTTCCTTTTTTTCCAGGTGAGCTCCAAAGAAGTGAATAAATTTCAGATGGTGAGTTCCTAGTGTTGCCCATGTTCCCCTTCTCATGGCAAGAGAGCATAATGGTGAACACTTGAGTTAAGATTGATATTTGGGGAGCTGGGCATGTGGTACATACCTGTAATCCCAGCTACTTGGGAGGCTGAGGCAGGAGGATCCCAAGTTTGACACCAACTTAGCTAGACCCTGTCTTAAAAATAAAATGGAAGAGAGTGCTAGGGATGTACCTCAGTGGTAAAACACCTCACAAGTGCAAGGCCCTAGGTTCCATCCCCACTACTGGGGTGGGGGAGTGGTTGATATTGGGTTCATTGCTGCCCTGTGATGTTTTACCAGTATTTTTCAGGTAAAAGGTGATAAGCTATGAATTTCAACACTGATATTATTTTTCCTTTCTGGTTTTTCATCTAGATTTTGTTGTCTTAACTTCATATATACTCTGTAGTATAGTTGAACAAGAAGTTGCTTGCCTTTTCCCCTTTTTGCCTAAAAATAAAGTAAAAAAGGTGCAGCTCACTGTGGGAGAGTGTTTTAAAAGGTACTATATTCTCTATTAGGTAGGCTTTCTGATTTTGGCTACCCTAAGTCTATTGTGGAAGTAGGGCAGCTCTCCACCAGTTGGTACCTCCTCCTGTTAATAAGGTCAGGCTGTGTGTTTTTCAGGCTTATTCAAACCTATTGAGAGCTAACATGGATGGGCTGAAGAAGAGAGACAAAAAGAGCAAGAGTAAGAAGAGCAAAGCAGCACAGTGAAGAGCACTGAGTTCCCTGCTTTTACCAAACCACTGAATTACATATTTCCATTTTGTTTATAGTTTTGTTCATAAATCTAGGTTTCTGGTTCCCCCACTAACTGTTTTCATGCGATATCAGGGTCATTTTGGAGAGAAGAAAGGTTGCAGTGTTTACAAAGTATTTGTGGTAAGAAAGTAGTTTTATTTCAGATTTATGATGCATGGTTATAAATTCCTAAATTAGTTTAAAAAAGTCTCTGTAGTCATCCCTGTGAAGAGCATTGTATCATTAAACACCTGTTATCAGCACTGTGCTTATGTGATCCTTCCCCCTCCATCTCCCCCCCCCACCTTTTGTGTGTGTGTGTGTGTGTGTGTGTGTGTCGCTGGGGACTGAATCCAGGGCCTCACACATGCTATGTAAGCACTCTTGAGTTACATCCCCTCAACCCCCCTCTCCCATTTTAATAGTCTGGCAATAACTAATTCTGGATGATGTGATTACTGAATGTTTTAGCCCTATTTTCTAGATTATTCTAATTGAAACCTGACAATTATAAAAGTTGTATCATCTCATGGACATTCTTTCCACCAGGTTGTATAAGTTTATCATCATAATTTATTAAGTTTGTTAGAGTTCTCATAGCCAAATGAAAATCTGCTTAACCACGTTAGGAAAAACATATTACAAAATCATTAAAAATAAAGATTCTAAGGTAATGATTTCTGGTGTCTTTGTGCCTTTTAGGACATTTTCATGTGCTTAGTCATTAGGATCAAGGGAAGAACAAGGATACTTTCTAATGTTCTATTTCCATAAAACCTTCAGTGTTAACAGATTTGCAATTAAAAAAGCTACACATACGACAAAGCATTTATTTTACCCAAAAAGATAAATTTATAATATATTACACATGAAAAACTGACAAAGTTAAGTAGGGCATCCTCTTAGAATTTAAAGTCAATTTAAAATGACAGTGAATGTACAACATTCCATTATTCCAGTATAAGCCCCTGTCTGAACAATGTAATGAGTTCTTCAGGGTTAAAATAAGATTCTATAGTAGTCATCTCTGTAGCTATATAGAAACAGCACAGATACCCTGCAAAAGAAGGGAAAAGGCAGATTATAATGACAGTTTAGTGAGTAAGGAACAAAAACAACAGTTAAATACTTTTAGGAGATATGAAGGTAGCTTTACTTAATTAAAAACAATAATGGAAGGCTAGTCACTAAAAAATTACAGAAGCTGTGACTACAGTAAAAGGCTCTATACAAGGAGATCCCCATTTACCTCACAGCCTCCTTGTTGCCCTTTAAGTGGAATGAGAACATGAATGAGTGACATTTTGACATAAGGGTATAAAGTTATATTTTATTTCATTTAAACACTTATAGAAGCAAAATGATAATTGGGATAGCTACTCCCAGCTCTGCTGTGTTTTTATTATTGACAAGATCATGACTTGTGATTCACACTCTCAGGAAGATTCATTGGTTGTCAGCTGCAGTTCTAACAGCTTGTCTTTAGCCTTCAAATCTCAATAAGAATAAAATATGTCACTCTAAAAGCTCTTCCTGAATTTTAACCCTGTGAATGAAATCTATGCCCAAGTGATAACTTACTTTTTTTCAACTTTGATGTTATAAATTTCGTCACAGACTAATTTGAGGTACCTTTGCTTTGGTAGGCGTGACAGCAGCTGCTTTACAGTTGTGTTAAATGCCTGTTCATCCGCATCCCACTGGGGAAAAAATAGATAAGACTTAACAGGGCAGAAGGTTTATTACTTGGCTTCCTCAGGGTCAGTACTGATATGCCATTGTTCAAGTATACCAGAAGAATGTATTTTAGAACCAGCTGGGAGCTGCTGGGGCTCTTCCTTTCAAGCATCAATTTTCTTTTTTTTTTTTTTTCAGAATTGTTAGTGATTAAAAAAAAATATTTTTAGTTGTAGATGGACACAATATTTTTTTATATAGTGCTGAGAATCAAACCTAGTGCCTCACATGCTAGGCAAGCGCTCTACCACAGCCACAACCCCAGCCCTCTCTTTTCTTTAAAACAAGACTATAGGTACTATGTAGAGTCTAGATGCCACAGCCCTGATGTGCTAATATCCTGCCCCAGGGTGCTGTGACTTTAGATCAATTAATTCTACCTACTGTTTACTTTGTATAAAATGGAGCTATTGTCTTTGTGTGTCCATCTGACTGGATCATAAATCAGTAAATTGCTAGAAGAGGGGTATATGTAGTATATACTTGTGAGAGCAACAGAAAATGTAGTAAATAATAATTTTGGGGCAAAGTTTTTAACCTGTGACTAAACAATGGGTACACATATATTCTTTGATATGTTGCAAAAATCATTTGTAGCTTTCATTAAGTATTCTTACTAGTAACTATTCAAAAATGTTAAAGTTCTTATTTAGACTATTGATAATAAATGTATATACCTATATAACAAAAGGGATCTAAATTAATTTTTACAAAAGGATCTTTTGTATAGTTCTAGTCTACAAATGACCTTCCCTAGCTGGAGTTTGACAGACAGCATAGTAGTATAATTGTCAAGAACAGATTCTGCCAGGAGTGGTGGCACACATCTGTAATCTCAGCTGCTTGGGAGGCTGAAGCAGGAGGACTATGAGTTCTAAGCTAGCCTCAGCAAGTTAGCAAGATCCTATCTCTAAGTAAAATATAAAAAAGGGCTGGGGGATGTGGCTCAGTGGTTAAGCACACCTGGATTCCCTCCCTAGTACCAAACAAAAAACAACATCAAAAACCCCCATGATTCTGCTAGTCTGCCTGAGTCTAAATCCTGGCTATCCTACGTATTAGCTGGGTGACCTTGATTTAGGAATACATATAATATATGAAAGGGCCAATGTTATTAAATTCCTGGTGTTGCCAGTATTTTCTGATACTAAGAAAATGTAATTCTGTTTTTAATTTTCTTTTGGTAAATCAACACAATGTAGAACAGTTTGTATTGCTTACCTCTAATGATAAAAACTGTAAGATTGTTTCTTTGGGTAGATCCACCTGTTAATTCATAGAAATGAACATCATATATCAGAACACATTAACTCAGGACTTCAGTGTCACTCTGGATGGATAGTATGAACAGGGCCGGCAGAGTGTGAAATGCCTCTGCACTTTTTATAAAGTAGAGTTGATGATCTGTGTGGTGATAAGATCTCAGTATTGGTGAACTAACAAGCTGTGGGAACTATACCCCCTATATGCCATAATTCAAAGCTTTGTTGACATTGCTACTTGTACTTAGTAAAGCAAAGCCCTGAAACATAGAAAACTGATTTTGGTTTTCACTGCTTTCCTTCCTCCATCTTTCAGAGGAAGAAAGGAGAGAGAAAAACAAACCTTCAATTTTCTCTCCAGTATATTATACGTTTAGATTAAATGTGGTTCACATCAGTAACAATAAGGTCTACATCCAGATACTCGTGACACTGAGCAAAAAAGCCCTGAAGTCTGATGTCACACTTTGACATTATGGACAGAGGCCATCTTCAAAATATTCAAAAAGAACTTACAGCCAAAATTTCAATTTCACTGCTTTTCTGATGTAAATTGGCAAGAGTAGTTTGAAGTCGAGTTTGTACCTAGTAGGAAGAAAATGTAATTCAGAACATGTTAAACCAAACCATCTTATTTCCTATTCCAGAAAACATGACAAGGTGACAAATCAAGGCCTATAAAAGTTTCCAATGTGGGGCTGGGATTGTGGCTCAGTGGTAAAGTACTTGACTAGCACATGTGAGGACCTGGGTTCAATCCTCAGCACCACATAAAAATAAAGATATTGTGTCCAACTACAACTAAAATATAAATATAAAAAAAAAGTTTCCAGTGTGTAAAGATTTGCTTTTACTCTACCTCAGAAAGAAGGGGTGTCTAGTCATTTTGATCACAAGGAAAATAAATTTTCTAACTTCTTTATATTACTTATTTCTTTTTAATTTTGAAATGATGCCAAATAAAGACTCAGAATAATGAAATAGTACATGTGTAGGAAGAGAGATTTTAGGATTAAGCTAAAGGGGAAAGGGGAAGGTAATAGCAATAAGAACATGGAACTCAAAAAAATGGGTCTCCACTCAAACAATCAGAAGAACTTAAAAATGAGGTATTTGATTTTTTCTACTTCAGTCCTATTTTTTTTTTTTTTTTGGTGGTGCTGGGGATCGAACCCAGGGCCTCGTGCATACTAGGCAAGCACATTCCCACTGGGCTATACACCAGTCCTTAATTTCATTTCTACATAATGGATGCTTTCCTAACATATGTCCATGGCACATTCTAAGACTCATATTCAATATACTTAGCTTGGCATTTTATTACTTAATTTCTTCTATTCTCTATATTGTGCATATGCTTGCTTCCAAGGTTATAAGCTCTTTAATGACTGGGGCCTTGTAGTGTCTCATATTTTACATAGCCATTAGCATAGCATTAGGCATACAGCACACACCAAAACCATGTAAGGAATGAGAAACCCCATCGCTTCTGGGCCTTTTGGCTAAGATCAAGTGTAGTATTTGTTCTTATCAGTTTAATATCTGATACGTCCTCTATCCAAGGACAATATATTAATACAAGAGGAAGTGAGGGGAAAGGGAAAAATAATACAAGGGGGAGAAATGAATTATAGTAGAGGGGGGTAGAGAGAGAAGAGGGGAGGGGAGGGGAGGGGAGGGGGGATA